AGAAAGTAAACTTTGTCAAAGTATTCCTATATAGACACAGACCATACCCCAAGGGAATTAAAGGTGGTGATTAAGCTGTGCCCTCTTGTAAGGTGAGGACTGAGGATACATTCCACCTAAATCCTGCTTCATCAACACTAGAAATAACTCATTGAAAAATGAGATCACAACCACAGGCACAGAGACTAGGATCTACAACCCACCAAAACAAATTGGAAGACCATGGCTAGAAGAGCCATATCAAATAATTAACTGCAGCATAGACAGTTCTAATCTGACCTATAGGACAATAAATAGAAATCCACTCAACAGTAGTCTGTGTGTGGTGTAGCTTTCTGACCAGTTCATGATTCCCAGAGGATACAATAATCTATCACTTTATAGAACTTCTGGTTACTTTCCAAACCCTCTCTGAAATGTGTAAAACAACTCTTGGACATGAATACTTTAAAATATTAACCATTAATTGTATTTTCTACTGCTCTTGCTGTCAAACATCCAAACCTTTCCAAGAAAGGTTTACCATTCATAAGAAAGCATAAAGCTTCCTCTATGGCATGAACCAACAGAGAAACTACATCACAATTTATACACAGGAATCAAGTTACCCTGTGTTTGGAATCTTTACAACCCAAGTTTAGACAGAGAAAGGGCACTCTCACATGGTTAGGTTCCAGATGTCCTTAAGCAGGTTTTTCCAGAATACCTAACATGTCACTCAAAGGAGATAATTTATTCCTGAGAGAACAAGCTCCCTGAACCTTTATGGAAACTTCTTATATATCTATGTAGTGCAAAGGGGACATGTTTTCTGTTATGATTCACATATCCAGAGCAAGATTCAACATGGGTGGTGCGTTTCATTGAAACGTGTTTCCTTTACAATTTCTTCCTCTTTCACTACCAGACCAGAACCATGTATATATCAGTTCTCTTTAGTGTTCCAAGTGAATTCATTATAAATTCTGATCCCAGATCTTCTGGGAAAACGTGTGTTTTTTCCACAGAAAATCACTTCAAAACTTTTTGCTTTTATATTGAATTGTCTGAATATTCTCTTTCCAACTGTGTCAGATCATTTATGATCTACTTGCTTCAAGAGTAGGTCAGTTTACAGATGGAATTGTCACTGAACACCTCACATCTCACTAAAGTCATTTCTAAAGACAACTATGGTAAGTCTTTCAATTGTGCTGCCTTTTATGTAGAATTAAATTAAAATCTTGTTGACTTTGTAGAATTAAATTGCAGATGATTTTTCTTTTTCTTATCGCATGATTAAATGTTTCTCTGGATTAATGCTCTAGAATCCAATACTTCCTACCTCCTTGTTGGGCACAAAGTTATGAAGATGAAATTAATTGCTATGTGTGTTCCAATCTCTTTGCTGGATGTATTCATATGTGCTCTCAAAATCAATTCTCATAACAACCAATAAAGAAAGCATTATTGTTCTCTTTACAAATAAAAGAAAAATGACTTAAGGTGCCAAAAAAAAATGTACAACAGAAAAAGAGTTGCAAATGAAAGATTCTAGATTTGGTCTTCCTGCTTCTAAAACCAATAAACTTAGAAACTGTTAGCCATTTTTAGCATTTTTGCAAAAAAAAGTATAAAATCTTATTTTGCAAGGGAATTAGAAAGGACATATTGTTGTTGTTGTTAGGTGCCACCAAGTCGGTACTGACTCATAGTGACCTTATTCACAGCAGAACAAAACACTGCCCAATCCTGGGCCAACCTCACTATTATTGCCATGCTTGAGCCCATTGATGCTGCCACTTGGCCAATCCATCATGCTGGGGGTCTTCCTCTTTTGCTCTGACCCTCCACCTTACCAAACATGATGCCCTCTTCCAGTGACTGGTCCCTCCTGACAATATGTCTGAAGTATGAGAGACGAAGTTTGGCCATCCTGACCTCCAAGGAGCACTCTGGCTGCACTTCTTCCAAGACAGATCTCTTAGTTCTTTTGGCAGCCCATGGCCCTTTAAATATTCTCCTCCAACACCGTAACTGAAAGGCATCAATTCTTCTATGGTCTTCCTTATTCACTGCCCAGCTTTTGCAAGCATATGAGGTTATTGAAAATACCATGGCTTGGGCTAGGAAATCCTAAGGAGTAGTTATACTGTTGTATACAGTCACTATGAGTCACGATTGACTCAGTGGCACACAGCAACAGACACAAGAGCAGGGACTAAGGTAAAGGCCAAATGAAGAGACCCTTCAATGAAAAAAAGTACCACTTTGTCCTTAATATTTTGAAATTCCAAGATGCTATCTATTTATCTGTCCATATTATATATTCTCCTGATGAATTATTCTGGATAAACATGCCTCTGCCTCTTTATGTGTGGAAGAATTCTCAACTTCACTCATTTTTCATTTCCTAATGTGTAAAGTAAGTATGCAAAGGATAATGGTAACAATTCCTGTGGTTTAAAATAATGATTAAATGACACATGTCTGCAGACATTTAGAGCAGAGTGTTCCTTGGAGGCCAAGATGGCCAAACTTCATCTCTCATACTTTGGACATATTGTCAGAAGGGACCAGTCACTGGAGAAAGATACCATGTTTGGTAAGGTAGAGGGACAGAGAAAAAGAGGAAGACCCCCAACGAGATGGATTAGCCAGGTGGCAGCATCAAGACTCAAGCAGGGCAACAGTAGTGAGATTGGCCCAGGATCGGGCAATGTTTCATTCTGCTGTGCATAGGGTCACTATGGGTTGGTACCGACTCGATGGCACCTAACAACAACAACAACAACAAGTCCTCTAACTTTTAGTTGTTATCATCATTGTCATTATCACTATTAACAGTAATGTCTTAGATTGTCTTCTCATGGTGAATCTTGCTCTGGATGGGTGAAATTCTACCAAACTCACAATTTTATGAAGATTAAGTGGAACTGCAAGTGCATTCTTATTACCATATAATGCACATAACAACCAATCATTATTGTTGTAGTTACTGTGATTGATGTTGTTGAGTTGATTCTGTCTCACAGTGACCCTGGATACAACAGAACAAATCACTGCCTGATCCTGTTCTATCCTAGCAACTGTTTTAAAGTTGTCAGCCCGTGTCCATTCATCTTGTTGAGATTCCTTCTCTTTTCCACTGACTCTCCACTAAACCAAGTCTTATGTCATTCTCCAGGGACTGGTCCCTCCTGATAGTGTATCCAAAGTACCTGAGACAAAGTCTCACCACCCTCATATCCAAGGAACTTTCCAGCTGTACTTCTTCCAAGAGAGATTTGTTTGTTCTTCTGGCAATCCATGACACTTTCAATATTCTTCCACAACTTCATTAATTCAAATGCATCAATTCCTCTCCAGTCTTCCTTTATTCATTCTCTAGCTTTTGTATGCATGTGAGGCAATTGAAAATACCAGGGCTTGGGTCAGGCACATTTTCCTCTTTATAGTGACATCTTGGCTTTTTAACACTTTAAAGAGGTCTTTCGCATCAGATTTGTCAAATATAAAAGGTAATTTGATTTCTTGACTGCTACTTTCATGAGCACTGATAACGGATCAAAGTAAAATGAAATCTTTGACACGTTGACATCAATGTTTTATTCATTTATAAAGTGATTTACTCCAGGTGTGAGGATTTTTATCATCTTTATGCTTAAGTGTAATCCATACTGGTCATAAAATGCCTGTATTATTATCTATCATGAAGTTGGATTTAGACAATAATCATTATGTAGTCTTTTATATTGACTCTTGTATCTTTTTTTTTTATCCACCCAGTTCCTACACTTGTATGACAACTACTGTAAGTAGTTGACTAAGTGGAGTTTCTATGGTTTCCACCATCATAATGAACCTCATTCAAGACATAAAATTTTTACTAAAGTATTATCTCAACTCTTCATTCCTCAAATTACTATGCTTCCTTCCACTCAGTCTCAACAACTTTTCATAGTTCTCTATTTCATGAAGAATAAGATAAAGGTTAATTTACTTTATATTCATGATTTATATGTTGCTACATGTGTTGTCGAACTGACTCCAAGGCACATAACCACCACCACCACCACATGGATTTTCCTTTACTTCAAAGTATACTTGAATGATCTCCTATCCTGTATAGAATTCCCTCATCTCTACATTCTTAACACAATCTTCACAGGGGAAGCAGTTTGAAAAATCTTCAAGAATTCACTTCTAGTTATTTACCCAAAAAAAAAAAAAAACACAAATCGAGAGTGCAAACAAATATTTGTACACCCAAGTTCATTATTGCATTACTCAAAATAGGAAAAAGCAGAGGATAGAACCCAAATGTGCATCAATAGAAAAATGTACAACTATAATGTGGTGCATGCATACAATGGCAAATTTCTCAGCCATCAAGAGAATTTAAGTCCCAATACACACTATAATAAAGAGGAACTTTGAAAGAATTATTCTAAGAAAGATAACTGAGTCATAAAAAGACAAACAGTGATCCCATTTGTATGAAATATCTAGAATTGGCAAGTGAACAGAAACTAAAATTTGTAAGTGATCTGCAAAAGCTGACAGAGAGAGGAAGAAAGGAGGACTTGATGCTTGGAGTACACTGAGCTTCTGTTAAGGGTGATGTATAATTTGGAATTGCATGATGGACAGTTAAACAAAACAACAAGCGTGTTAATTTCACTGAATTATACGTGTGACTATTGTATAAATGGTAAATATTTGTTATATACATACATCCTATAATGAAACAAAGAAGACACAGAATCTTTACCTTTCAAATAAGCTTTATTGTTTTTGCTCAGTTCCACCCACAGTGACCCTGTATAGGGTTTCCAAGGAGCATCTGGTGCTTGAACTACTGACCTTGGGTTCAAACTGACTTTGCAGTCCAGCAAATGTGCCAATCAATAGACTAAAGGTATTTATCTTTTTTAGAATGTAAAAACTTAAAAATTCAAGGTTATATTAATGAAATTGTTTTCATCACAGGTAATATAATTAAAGGTCACATGAAATACATGGAAAGTAGAAACAACGTGACAGAGTTTGTTCTTCTGGGGCTCACGCAAAATCAAAATATGCAGAAAATCGTATTTGCTGTGTTTTTTGTCATCTACATCATCACAGTAGTAGGAAATTTGCTCATTTTGGTCACCATCACTGTCAGTCCATTGGTGGAATCCCCTATGTACTTTTTCCTGGCCTGTCTCTCCTTTATTGATACTTGCTATTCCTCTGTTAGTACTCCTAAATTGATTATCGATTCAGTCAGTGAAAGGAAGACCATCCTATTCAATGGATGCATGACCCAAATCTTTGGAGAACATTTATTTGGAGGTGTGGAAGTCATCCTTCTTACTGTGATGGCTTATGACCGATATGTGGCTATCTGCAAGCCCTTACACTACACAACCATCATGAACCGGAGAGTGTGTGGTCTGCTAACAGGACTCTCCTGGTTAGGAGGTTTTCTTCATGCAACCATACAGATCCTTTTCATGTTTCATTTACCCTTTTGTGGCCCCAACATCATAGATCACTTTATGTGTGATCTAAACCCTTTGCTCAGTCTTGCCTGTACTGATACTCACATTCTGGGGCTCTTTGTTGCAGCCAACAGTGGATTCATGTGCCTACTAACATTTCTCCTCCTGATGATCTCCTATACAGTCATCCTGTACTCCCTAAGGACCCACAGCTTGGAGGGGAGGCGCAAAGCTCTCTCAACCTGCATATCTCACATCACAGTGGTTGTCTTATTATTCGTGCCCTGTATATTTGTGTACATGAGACCTGTGGCCACTTTAGCCATCGATAAAGCAGTTGCTGTATTCTACACTATCATTACTCCCATGCTAAATCCTTTAATCTATACTTTGAGAAATGCCCAGATGAAAAATGCCATTATAAAATTGTGCAGTAAGAAAATGACTTTAGTTGATGAATAGATATGTCTAGTTCCTAAGAATGATTCAGGGGAGCACAGTGGCTCCATTAGTTAAGCACTGGACTGAATCAGGGATTTGAGCCCACCAGTGGGAGAAAAGTGAGGCTTTTTGCTTCTTCAAAGATTTAAAAAGCCTCAGAACCCTGAGTTGAAACCAACTTGATGGCACTTAACAACAACAACAAAGAATCATTCATTAAAGGAAACGGTCAAAAGAATGTTTACAATGATCTCGGAAAGAAATACTATGAGTTAAGTATCGTAATAGATGATTATCACAATTCACTGGCTTTGCACATAGAGAAAGAGAGAAAATCTAACACAGGAGCAATCGTTGCATACTTGAACAGTATACTAGATACAGACTAAATTTTACTAGCACTATTCTCAGAAACCTTCTAGAGGGTCACTATGAGTCGGAACTAACTTGAAGACACTTAACAACAATGACTGCATTCATATAAATGGGGATCTTGGTGGGTCCATATAATAAACACTGGACTGCAAACCACAAGGTCTGCAGTTGGAGCTGCCAGCTGCTCAGAAAGTGTGTGTGGTGGTGGGGGGTGGTGGTGGTGGTGGTGGTGTAGGGGTAAGTTTTCCTTTCCTGTGAAGATTTAAAGCCTTGGAAATCCTATACAGGGTGACCATGATTCGGAACTGACTCCAAGGCACTTAACAACAACAACAAAAATTCTTTTAAAATGATGCATAAACTTTCCCTTTAATAAATTGCTAAAGTGAATAGAGAGAAATACTGTTAACTGATGGTACCTGAAGGGGATTATAATCATTGTAATGAAACAAGGTGTAAGATTTGTTGAATGTAAAACACGATATGTCCTGTAAACTTCCACTCAATCCACAATAAAAAACTTAAATTTTAAATGCTTTTTTTTTTTTTTTTTTTTTTCTTTTTTAATCCTATGGATTTATTTTGCTGGATCAAACTGCTGTAAATTTTCATTTGATTATAATTTTTTTTTTAATTTTAAAAAGTATAAAACCTATACTAAATAGTTTTTGGTACTGAGGTATAATTGCTATAATGAGGGCAGAGAGTTTGGCATTTCTAGTCTCTAGTCCATTTCACAGCTAGGGCATGAGAGAAACAAGCAATTATATACAACAGCCAAGAAAGAGAATTGGATGGATTTCACAGTCCAGGGTCTTAACTGCTCTGATACTTTGTCAAACAATGATGATTACAATAGCTGCTACTTAGTGAGCCTTGAACTGTGTTGGAAACACTGTACATACTGGCTCATTGTTTATCATTGTTGCTGCCTTTGTTCAGTGTCATCAAGTCCATTCTAAAATGTCAAGACACTGTAAAGGGATTACAGGAGCACAAAGCCTCATAGGTCTCCTGCATAGCAGCTGCTGGGCTCGAACATCCAAATTTGAGGTTAGTAGTCCAGCGTTCAGTGCTTCCAAGATGCAAAAAGATCATTTTTAAATGGCTTAGAACCGGACTTCCTACACTGTCTAGTTCTAATTAGAAATCTGATAATTTTTACTAATTTCACTGTTAATTTTCTTGACGACAATTTTTGATCATTTGTTTCCAGCAATATTACGACATCTAACTACTTTGTTGTTGTTGTTGTTGTTAAGTGCCGTCGAGTCGGTTCCAACCCATAGCGACCCTGTACAGGGTTTCCGAGGCTGTAAATGTTTACGGGAGCAGAACGCCTCATCTTTCTCCTGTGGAGCGGCTGGTAGTTTCGAACTGCTGGCCTTAAGGTTTGCAGCCCGATTTGTAACCACTACGCTGCCAAAGCTCCTTTAACTACTTTAGGGCTGGAAAATAATGGGTCACTTTATATGTGAATGATAGGAAATGATTATTAGGCTTTGTTTCCAAATGTCCTATGGGATTCAGAACAATATTGTATTTTTCATGTTACATTTAGATTGATAACCTACCAGAACAAGTGATGGCTCCAATTTTTTTAAATTGAATGTTTGATAAACTCTTTTATTGATTTAAGTTTATCTCCATAAAATATTATCTGATAAATAGAATCCTTCCTACCATGCAGTGCACTATCTAGGGAATAGTAAGTAGTAAATGAGTAGCTAAATTTATATAAATTAATAAATTGAATAAAATGTAGAGAAAAAAAAGGTGAAATATTATGGAATTATTTTCTATCTGATTCAGACACTAAGAGAAATTGTATGGGCTAGAATCTGGTTTTGTTGTTTTTGTTGATGTTTTTAACTCCTGCTTAAACTAAGAAATAAGAAAAAATACTGCTACAATTCAGTCTAAGCAAATATTTTTCTGTGGTATTCTCCCTCTACTCTACAAGGTTTTAATATCACATAAATGAAGGCTGTGTATTATTTCTTTTTGTTGTTCATTAAATTTCTGTTAACATTTTACTATTTAAGTTGTTTTCAAAAAACTTATGGTTCTGATCACACAGAGAGCAAAACTTGGACATGAATATATTCCATTTCTTACTTTATTTATTCACTCATTAACCAACATAGCCCTTTTTTAACTCAATGCATATGTTGTGCCTAGCAATAGTTGGTTGTTGTTGTTATTGTTGGTGTTGTCGGGTCAGTTCTGACTCATAGCGACCCTGTAGAGGATTTCCAAGGAGCAGTTGGTGAATTTGAACCACCGACCTTGAGGTCCAAACTGATTTTACAGGCCAGCACATTAATCTACAGCACAACACCATGATTACTCAATCTAAGAGAAGCCAGATGAATAAAGTACAGCGGAAAAACAATGGCAAGATAGTAGAAGCATTGGTACTGTGAATGCATATGAGAGGAAGAAAGAAAAAGAGCTGGGAGTCAAGAGACAGGTCTTAGATTTAATTCATCAACAATGGACCTACTGTTGTTAAGTGCTGTGGAGTCCATTCCAACTCATAAGGACGCTGTAGAGTTTCTGGGGAACTGCTAGTGACTTTGAAACTCCAAGTCTTTGATTAGCAGTTCAATGTTTATCCTACAGCATCACACCAGGAGTCCGGGTAGACATAGAAGATTAAAAGGAGTCATAAGCTTAATAGGCATAATGTTGGTGTGAAAGGATACATGGCTGGTGGCTGTGTGCTGTGGAGTCGGTTCCAATTCATAGCGACCCTGTACAAGGGTTTCCGAGGCTGTAAATTTTTACGCAGCAGAACACCTCATCTTTCTCCCGCGGAACAGCTAGTAGTTTCGAACTGCTGACCTTGCGATTTGCAGCCTGATTCATAACCACTACGCTACCAGCGCTCCTTAGGAGATAGAATATCTTGGACTGTAAGTGACAAAAAGTATGACATAGTGAGGAAACTTAAATAATCTCATATTACTGTACTTGTTAATTGATCTATTCATTCAACAATTATTTTGGGAAGCTGCAATGTGTGCCAGGAACGGTGCTGAACATGGAACATGTGAAAGGGTCATATAGGATGACATGAAGCAAGATAAAACCAGATATCAGAAATAATCTTAAAGCCATGTTGTTGCTTGTGTTGTTAAGTCCCCTTGAAACTGTTGCGACCATAGCGACCCTGTATAGGGTTTCTAAGAAGCCACTGCTGAACTTAAACTACCGACCTTGTGGTTCAAACCAACCCTACAATCCAGTGCGTTAACAAACAGTACCAAACCAGGACTCTTAGAGCAATTGTTGTTTTTGTTAAGTGCCGTCAAGTCACTGCTGATCCATAGCCACCCAGTGTCCGGTTTCCAAGGCAGCAGCTGGTGAGCTTGAATCACCGACCTTGCAGTTCAAACGATTTTGTAGCCTGACGCATTTGCCCACAGCACCACAGCACCACACCAGGATTCCAAAAAAAAATACTTTAAGAAATACCAGAGTTTAAAATCAAGGACAATTGAGAAACATTGAATTCTACAAATCTCTGAGGGTTGTAAATAAGGTAACTGGATGTCAGATCAAGATTGAAAAGAAAAAGTGAAGGATAAAATCATCTTTAGGCTGGCAAGTTATGTGGTTTGATTTGAATTTCAGAACGATAGTTCTAATTACAGTATGGAAACAATATCAGAAACGTAACAGCAACTAGCAGTTTATCATAATGACTTGGTATGAAATGATGGGTGTCTTGAATGTGGGGCTGCCAGTGAAGATGAAGAGTCAGTGTACCCTTGACCTACAGTGGGTAGGCTGCTAAGAACTTAAACGGTACCAGAAAAATTACACCAGAGAAAATTTCAGTTCTCTGAACATGGGGGTCATGTTCACCATCCAGTACTCACAAAGAGCCAATGATTGATTCATACTAGGTATAAAAGGCAGCCCCCATTGTCTCAACATTAATCCAACTCTGTACTTCAATTTGTATTCTAGACCTCTTATGACTTATTCTCTGTTTTCAGTCAAGATTGATCTGATATCAGCAATTATATTCTTCATTCTGCTCCCTCTTCTTAATCCAATTTGAACATCTGGAAGTTCCCTGTCAATGTACTTAAGCAGCTGTTTTTGAATTATCTTTAGTAAAATTTTACTTGCAAGTTATATTAAAAATATTGTCCAATGAATTCTACATTTCACTGGATCACCTCTCTTTGGAATGGTCACAAATATGGATCTCTTCCAAACAGCTGGCCATGTAGCTGTCTTCCAAATTTTGGG